GAAGGAGTGCAGCTCCATGCTTTCTGTCCATCCATCCATCTCTGCATCTATCTATCTGTCTGTCTATCCATCCATCCATCCATCTGTATCTGTCTGTCTGTCCATCCATCCATCTCAGTATCTGTCTATCTGTCCGTCCGTCCATCCATCTCTCTCTCTATCTATCCATCCATCCATCTCAGTATCTGTCTATCTGTCTGTCTGTCTGTCTGTCTGTCTGCCCATCCATCTCTCTCTATCTCTCTTTCTCTCTCTCTCCATCCATCCATCTCAGTATCTGTCTATCTGTCTGTCCGTCCATCCATCTCTCTCTCTATCTATCCATCCAACCATCCAACCATCCATCCATCCATCTCAGTATCTGTCTATCTGTCTGTCTGTCTGTCCACCCATCCATCTCTCTCTATCTCTCTCTCTCTCTCCATCCATCCATCTCAGTATCTGTCTATCTGTCTGTCCGTCCATCCATCTCTCTCTCTATCTATCCATCCATCCGTCCAACCATCCATCCATCCATCCATCTCAGTATCTGTCTGTCTGTCTGTCCGCCCATCCATCTCTCTCTATCTCTCTTTCTCTCTCTCTCTCTCCATCCATCCATCCATCCATCCATCCATCTCAGTATCTGTCTATCTGTCTGTCCGTCTCTCTCTCTCTCTCTCTCCATCCATCCATCCACCTCAGTATCTGTCTGTCTGTCTGTCTGTCTGTCTACCCATCCATCTCTGTATATATCTATCTGTCTGTCTGTCTGTCCATCCATCCATCTCTATCTGTCTGTCCATCCGTCCATCCATCCATCTCAGTATCTGTCTATCTGTCCGTCCATCCATCCATCCATCCATCCATCCCTCTCTCTCTCCATCCATCTCTGTATCTATCTGTCTGTCTGTCTGTCTGTCCGTCCGTCCGTCCGTCCGTCCGTCCGTCTGTCCATCCATCCATCCATCCATCCATCTCAGTATCTGTCTATCTGTCTGTCTGTCTGTCTGTCCATCCATCCATCTCTCTCTCTCTCTCTCTCTCCATCCATCCATCTCAGTATCTATTTGTCTGTCTGTCTGTCTGTCTGTCTGTCCGTCCGTCCGTCCATCCATCTCTTTCTCTCTCTCTCTCTCTCTCTCTCCATCCATCCATCTCAGTATCTGTCTGTCTGTCTGTCTGTCCATCCATCCATTCCTCTCCTTCTCTCTCTCCATCCATCCATCTCTGTATCTATCTATCTGTCTGTCTGTCCATCCATCCATCCATCTCTGATCTATCTGTCTGTCTGTCTATCCATCCATCCATCCATCCATCCATCCATCTCAGTATCTATTTATCTGTCTGTCTGTCTGTCCATCCATCTCTTTCTCTCTCTCTCTCCATCCATCCATCTCAGTATCTATCTTCCTGTCTATCCATCCGTCCATCACAGTATCTGTCTATCTACCTACCTACCTACCCATCCATCCACCCACCCATCCCTGTCTGTCTGTCTGTCTGTCTGTCCGTCCGTCCGTCCGTCCATCCATCCATCCATCCATTTCTGTGTCTGTCTGTCTGTCTGTCTGTCTGTCCATCCGTCCATCTCTCTCTCTCAGTCCATCCATCCATCTCAGTATCTATCTGTCTATCTATCTATCTATCTATCTATCTATCTATCTATCTATCTATCTATCTATCGATCTATCTATCTATCTATCTATATCTATCTATCTATCTATCTACCTACCTTCCTACCCATCCATCCATCCCTCTCTCTCCATCCATCCATCTCTGTATCTATCTGTCTGTCTGTCCATGCTGTGGAATTCTGGGAGTTGTAGTTTGGTGAGTCTCTGGCCACCTTTGCTTTTGGAGAGGACTCCCATGACCAGTGATGGTTTGATTCCATCATTGGTGGAGTTCAGAATGACAAGATCAACCCCACCAGGATTGTGTTGCATGTCAATCTGCATTAATTCCTTGGTGTAGAGAGGTGGACATTTGGCACACATGGGATACCTTTGCATGGGGTGCATAACGTGGTCCTGTATCCACAAAGGGAGACACAATCTGATCCCTCCCGACAGATGGCCATCCAGCCTCTGTTTAAGGAGACTCCACTGAACTCCCAGGCAGTCCAGAATTGGAAGGGATCCCCAAAGGTCACCTAGTCCAAACCTTTATCCAGCCACAAAGGGAGGCACAATCCGATCCTTCTCGACAGATGGCCACCCAGTCTTTGTTGTTGTTTCGAAAGGTTTGCAGAAGCCTCCTGCCACCCTTACTCTCAAGCCGCTTTCCACAAACAATCTGTTACCAAAATGGCGAAGGAACGGCTTGAGGGAGGAGAGCCATTGTTTGCTTACATGTTTGTTTATGCTGCTCAGACAACAAGAGTGCCTCTGAGCATGCATAAAGGGCCCCTCCAGCCTCCCTCCCAACTCTGTGACTTCTTGTAGCTATTGATTTGTCATTATTACTTACGGATTATTATTTTTAATTAGTAGCGTTGACGTTTCATTCTGTGTCCGCATTGTATTGACGTTGTTGTTGTTACGAAATCTCCCTCATATAGGAGACGTGCTGTGTGCCTTTTCCTATTCAGGGCCAGTTCTTATTTCAGCATGTTTAAGGTAATTAATCTATCTATCTATCTCTTCAATTATCTATCTATCTATCTATCTATCTATCTATCTATCTATCTATCTATCTATCTATCTCTTTGATTATCCATCCAACCATCCTCCTAGCAATCTGTCCATCCATCCATCCGTCCATCCATCTATTCATCTGTCCATCCATCCATCCATCTATCTATCTATCTATCTATCTATCTATCTATCTATCTATCTATCTATC